GAGTTTTTTTTACACACATAGCAATTTAAGATTACATGTACGGAGAACTTTAAGGGTTACTGCCAAAGAACATTGCAATATGTGTTCAGCGTCATCTCCTGAGTACAGGGATACCACCCATGTATAGGTGTGTTGAGTTCTTTGGGGGCTAAAAGACCTTATTTGGAGGGTGCGCATTCCAGTTTTCCAACTTGGAATTTTCACAGCTGGTCATTTGCAAACTTACAGGGATCAAATTGTAGGGTTTTCCCCTATTCTGTGTTTGCACATTGAAATTTGCCAGATTGGTTTGCTGGGCGTATGTTGCCTTTGAGACCGTATAGCAGCCCAGGAATGAAAATTAACCCCATCATGGCATACCATTTGTAAAAGTAGATAACCCACGGTATTCAAAATGGGGTAGGTCCGGTCTTTTGTAGTAGCCACAAACGCTGTGTTGCCTTTTGAGACCATATGGTAGCTCAGGAATGTGAAAAGACCCCATCATGGCATACCATTTTCAAATGTAGACATCCCAGGGTATTGCAAATAGTGTATTTCCAGTGATTGGATCAGGCTACCACTTCTGATGATGTCAGCGGACAGCTTGTTTTTCTGAGACAAACGCCATGCAGAGTTACAGCTTCAGGCTTGAATACAGTAAGATTTTTACTATATTTATGGAGGCATGATGGGCCCAGGGGGACTAGATGGTGGTTTTAACACTGTAGGGTTAGGAAAACATGTTTGTGTTCCTGACCCTATAGTGATCCTTTAACTTGTCCTGCTTCTCACCTTTCTTTTTTAGCAAGGAACAAAATGACATCAAAGTCAAATACTTCCACAACGCTGGTTCTACTGGCTACGCCATCTCAGCTCGGACGACTTCACATGCCGATTGTCCGAAACCTGAACACACAGCGTGCTGGGGCGGTGACCCGGGGCAACGCCCTCCCCCTCTTTTTTTTCTTCTCTTTTCCCCCCGTTAACCCCCCCACCTACAGACCGAAAACCCACACACTCTTGCCCCACCCGAAGAACACGAGACAATCCCGATACCACAAGACACGGAAGACTCCCGCACCACACACTACCAACAACACGTAACGCCGGCAGACCCAGACTGAGAATGACAACACGCAATCACACGACATACCGCTACCCCGACGACACATCCCTGCCAGGGGAAAATAACTGACAGATTGACTGAATTGCCACCAACAAGAGACAGGAAGGAAGGCAACACAAATAGGCTTCGCTATTATCCCGAACCAACCCCCACATAACAAAAACTCTACTGAGAAACCGACGCTATTTAAACACCCGAACCATTGCATATACTTCACGATACCACACAATATTATCAGAAAGTCAGGCCACATCCAACCAGTGCACAGACCCATGTAAGGATACTTTTACAGACTATACTCAGCCTATACGTTAACACTACGACACCAAACCCTCTACCTGGACCAGAACCAAACATTACACCACACGATAAAAACGCACGGCAAGAACCCAGCTATATATACAGCATACCCCCATTAGGAAGTCACGTGGAATTGGCCAACTATGCTACTAGACACGGGAAGCGAGAAAGAAAGCCTCACCAGCAAACCATATTGTCATCCCCACACACCTCGCACATGCCAGATATTTCACTACACACTACGCAAACTCATGCACCTGACCATGACGTAATACACTCACCAAGAGCTGAAGCAAGATAACACAATTACGTTCTTACTTTGGCCTCTGCGCAGGCACATGTGTAATCTTTGAAATGAAACTGACTGAGCCTCTGCGTAGGCACTAACATACCAAAATTCTAAACTCGATATATGTCTGCTCGTATACTGTAAACGAAATAAAAAACTATTAGACTTCTAATTATCAAATATTGCAGGGCAAAAATATTTGATATTGTTTATCTTTAGTTGTTTTCTTGATAATAACGCAGTCAGCCTTTTCAATTTTTTGAAGCAGCCAGCCCAGCCGCACGCCGCCTCATTCGGCATTTACTCCGTCTCCCACACCTCTCGGTCCTGCAGAGTCTTTGCAGCGTGGTTCCAGCTGAAGATCGCCCCCTTCAGTGTTTGCCCCGTCTCCAACACCTCGCAATCTTGCTAGGCAACACCGACCTTAGTTGTTCAGCGCCGTCTCACCCAGGTCTTAAATTCGATAACTTTTGTTAGTCAGACTTCATATGGCGTGTAGCATAGAACTCGTATTTCACCATTCCACTCCCTGAGCCGCTCCCCTCCTCACAACCCAAGCAGCGTCAGCAGGTCATCACCCCCTGGGATATACATTAAAATCCTTATTGTGACTACTGCATATATCATCACATTGAATGAATCTAATAAAATAAATAAAAACCTGTCACCCTTCTACGAAACCCCCTGTCACCCCTTCTACAAAATCCATTTCCACCACCACCTACAAAACCTCTGCCCATCCCCTTGTAGTAGTACCCGTACAAAAAAAAAAAACTGCAGTAAGCAAACATTCCAATAACAAACATTCCTCAATGCTCTACTGCCACGGTGCTGCTTGCACACAGGAATCACTGGAGGAAGGAGGAGCAAGTCGGTGTGTGTTGCGTGCATTCTCTCTCCTTTAGGGTCAAGTAGTGCTGCTGGCTGCGATCTACCAGCATCGCCTTTGCGAACAACTGGTAGATTGCGATCAACGTTATTGAGTATAGATCCAGGGCTGGCGCTTCCTATAGACCAACTAGGCGGCTGCCTAGGTCGCTGCTTAAAAGGGGGCACTGGCCCTGACTTTATGATCAAGTTTGCGCCGGCTGGCCCACGGCCGCCCCTTTATTTTTTTGAGTGTGCCGCCAGCCACGTTACAGGGCACTAGGGAACACTTACATTGCTGCTCACTAGCTCCTTGTAGAACACCGATCCAGTGGCATCCATGTCAGCCCTAAGAGCTAGACCCCCTTCCAGGCGCTTCAGTTGCTTGCTCCTGCCCCTTCAGTCAGTATGTTTATGTATGTCAGTGTGTGTCTGCATGGGCCATCGTGTGTGTCTGTATAGGTCATTGTGTATGTCTGTAAAGGTCAGTGTGTGTCTCTATCGGTCAGTGTGTGTCTGTATGGGTAAGACAGTGTCTCTATGTGTCTTGTATGTGTTTGTTTGCATGGGTCAGTGTGTGTCTGCATGGGTCAGAGAGTGTCTGTATGGGTAAGGGAGTTCCTGTATGTGTGTCTCTGCATGGGTAAGAGTTTGTATATGGGTCAGTGTGTGTTAGTCTGCATGAGTGGGGGCGGCAAAATATTTTTTGCTTAGGGCGGCAAAAATGCTTGCACCTGCCCTGTATAGATCATGCGCCCTGCAGTTCTCTGTCATTTAGGTGTTAAATTACTTTGTTTATGCAGTCCTAGTCACCCGTCCCTGCATGTGACTTGCCCTAGCTTCCTAAACTAGTCCTGTAAATAGTCATCTAATATTTAAACTTCCTTTATTGCAAATTGTTTAATTCAGAATTTATCTGCTCTGTTAATAGCTTGCTAGACCCTACAGGAGCCTCCTGTATGTAATAAAAGTTAAATTTACAGCGCAGGCGATAAAAACATTTAAAGTAATTTAGGATCTGATTGCAAATGAAACCATTTTAATTTTATGTAGGCAGTGTCAATCACAGCCAGGGGAGGTGTGGGTATGGCTGCATAAAAAGTGATTTTGCTTCTAGATGGTAGAAAATGGAACCTTTACAATTCAGAGGCATGATCTATACACAAACGGCTTCATTAAGCTAAAGTTTTGGTGACTAGTGTCCCTTTAATCCTGGTTCACATACCATATCATGCTCAGTGCAGTCACAGTGGGCCATAGAGAATCATTATATTGTGCCTAAGGTCCCCAATGTGAATCTGTGAGGTGCCCTGCATTGGCCCGTCATCCTGGGTGCAACTGGGAGACTGTGTTGCTGAAAAGCTGAGTCATTTGGTTTTATTTTTATACAGTAAAAAATGGAGAGCACACTGTAAATTAAATGTTACCACAAATGGCACATACAGTTAATGGATATAAAAACAAAAAGGAACACATACATAGGGTAATATAGTAAAAACTAGATAATTGATAAAATCTATTTTGGATCCACTCACATGATTCTGAGCCACTCCACAAGCTGGCTCAGACTAAAAGCTCAGTTGCAGAAGGAATGGTGGCCACCTTTAAGGATCTGAATGTTCAAGTTCACAGCTTTGCCTTTTTTTTTTTCCAATGCAGCATCAGAAAGGAACTCCAAAATACTGGATATATGTAAAAACACCTCTGGCTTTAAGAACAAACAGAAAAACATACTTTACAAATATAGATTAAAAGATAGTCCACCTCCACCTGACGCGTTTCGGCTGGTTTGCCTTTATCAATCAGTGGTTCTGTTGTGAGTGTCTCCCTGTCTCCCTTTTTATATTAATCTTGGCGCCTTCATCCGTACTACCGATGGTTACTTCCAGGTTTACGACTCTTGCGTGTTCGAACGTCATTGCGCCTCCTTGCGTCTGACTTAACTAGCGTTCCAGCACTCGAGTTAAAAGCTTGAATTCGCCATTGTGTATATTCTGAGTCCTATACACATGATTTATATGTAATTAGGAAGTCCGCCATATCTATGGGGTAATAAATAGATTTAATGCAAAATTGGGAAGCATCTTAAAAACATAATTAAATAACGTAGAAAATACATATCCCTACATATATAAAATTCTTAATAAGCATTGATGAAGACATAAGTCTAAACGCGGGTATGGTCTCCCTAGGGCAGTGATGGCGAACCTATGGCACGCGTGCCACAGGTGGCACGCCGGGCCCTTTCTGTGGGCACACGGCCACAGGTTCACCATCAATGTAGAGTAGGCGCCTGCCTGCCTGCCCGAAACGGCAGGTGCCTACTCTGCTTCCGGGTCGGGAGGCAGGGGGAGGGCTCTAGGAAGCTGCTCCCTTGTCCTCCCGCGCGATGCTGTGTGGAGCGTTGCCGCGCGTTACCATGGCAACGCTCCACACAGCATTGCGCGGGAGGACAGGGGAGCTGCTTCCTGGAGCCCTCCCCCTGCAGTGCTTACCACCACCGGACCACCAGGGATCGCTGTGTCCCCCTTCATTAAAGGTAAGAAGGAGGGAGGGGGGGGGATACTGACACAGCACCCCTACCCCCCCAGCAGAACCCCTAACCCCCAGCACCCTACCCTCCCCAGCAGTAGTCCCTACCCTCCCCAGCAGTAGTCCCTACCCTCCCCAGCAGTAACCCCTACCCTCCCCAGCAGTAACCCCTACCCTCC